GAACTCAGCACAGGGATGGTGGGAGCTCCTCATAATGGGCACAGCAGGTGTACAGACCCAGGAACTCAGCACAGGGATGGTGGGAGCTCCTCATAATGGGCACAGCAGGTGTACAGACCCAGGAACTCAGCACAGGGATGGTGGGAGCTCCTCATAATGGGCACAGCAGGTGTACAGACCCAGGAACTCAGCACAGGGATGGTGGGAGCTCCTCATAATGGGCACAGCAGGTGTACAGACCCAGGAACTCAGCACAGGGATGGTGGGAGCTCCTCATAATGGGCACAGCAGGTGTACAGACCCAGGAACTCAGCACAGGGATGGTGGGAGCTCCTCATAATGGGCACAGCAGGTGTACAGACCCAGGAACTCAGCACAGGGATGGTGGGAGCTCCTCATAATGGGCACAGCAGGTGTACAGACCCAGGAACTCAGCACAGGGATGGTGGGAGCTCCTCATAATGGGCACAGCAGGTGTACAGACCCAGGAACTCAGCACAGGGATGGTGGGAGCTCCTCATAATGGGCACAGCAGGTGTACAGACCCAGGAACTCAGCACAGGGATGGTGGGAGCTCCTCATAATGGGCACAGCAGGTGTACAGACCCGGGAACTCAGCACTGGGATGGTGGGAGCCCCTCATAATGGGCACAGCAGGTGTAACCTTTTCACAGAGCTTCTGGGTAAGGCTGCAGCTTCTGGTCACATGATTCTCGTATGAGAAGTACAGCGGTGATGTTATAAACCAGCTACAAGTATGCACCTTCACCAGGCTTGGATTCATGCCCACTCAGATTAGGGCGGCAGCTGGGATGAGGGTTTGTACACGAGTTGAATGCCACAAGTGAAATGAAAGCTGCCTGGGGTTGGCCACATTCCTGGAGGCAGATTAAAACTTGTTCCCTAGATTAGCTAAAGAGGAAATTAAGTCTCCAGGGGACAAAGTGTCCGCCCTGTGTGCCCAGACCATTCCAGGGTGGGTAAAGGAGGAAGGAAGAATAAAAGAGAGGAGGTGGTGAGGAAGAGTGTGAGTAGGATAAAGGAGGAGAGAAGGATAAAGGAAGGGAGGAGGATAAAAGGAGGAGAGAAGGATAAAGGAGGAGAGAAGGATAAAGGAGGAGAGAAGAAGGAGAAAGGGAGAGAAGGATAAAAGGAGGAGTGCTAAAGAGGAAATTAAGTCTCCAGGGGACAAAGTGTCCGCCCTGTGTGCCCAGACCATTCCAGGGTGGGTAAAGGAGGAAGGAAGAATAAAAGAGAGGAGGTGGTGAGGAAGAGTGTGAGTAGGATAAAGGAGGAGAGAAGGATAAAGGAAGGGAGGAGGATAAAAGGAGGAGAGAAGGATAAAGGAGGAGAGAAGGATAAAGGAGGAGAGAAGAAGGATAAAGGAGGAGAGAAGTATAGAGGAGGAATGAAGGATAAAGGAGAGAAGGATAAAGGAGGAGAGAAGGATAAAGGAGGAGAGAAGTTTAAAGGAGGAGAGAAGTATAGAGGAGGAGCGAAGGATAAAGGAGGAGAGAAGGACAAAGGAGGAGAGAAGGACAAAGGAGCGAAGGATAAAGGAGGAGAGAAGGATAAAGGAGGAGAGAAGGATAAAGGAGGAGAGAAGGATAAAAGAGGAGAGAAGGATAAAGGAGGAGAGAAGGATAAAAGAGGAGAGAAGGATAAAGGAGGGAAGAAGGATAAAGGAGGGAAGAAGGATAAAGGAGGGAAGAAGGATAAAGGAGGAGAGAAGGATAAAAGAGGAGAGAAGGATAAAGGAGGGAAGAAGGATAAAAGAGGAGAGAAGGATAAAGGAGGAGAGAAGGATAAAAGAGGAAGAAGGATAAAGGAGGAGAGAAGGATAAAAGAGGGAAGAAGGATAAAGGAGGAGAGAAGGATAAAAGAGGAAGAAGGATAAAGGAGGAGAGAAGGATAAAAGAGGGAAGAAGGATAAAGGAGGAGAGAAGGATAAAAGAGGAAGAAGGATAAAGGAGGAGAGAAGGATAAAAGAGGGAAGAAGGATAAAGGAGGAGAGAAGGATAAAAGAGGAAGAAGGATAAAGGAGGAGAGAAGGATAAAAGAGGGAAGAAGGATAAAGGAGGAGAGAAGGAGAGAAGGATAAGGATGGTGCACGGTGGGATCTTCAATGACAGATTTGGACACCTAGATTGATACCAGAGACGAGGGAAGGAGAGGTGAAGTCACCCAATACACGGACAGAGACCTTCCATGAGACGCGCAGATGCTCGCTGGGCTGACCCATCACATGACCCATCACATGACCCAGTACAGTAATGACAATATAATCATTTAGCGGGAATTCAGATCAGCGTCGCAGGAAACTCGTCCCAAGAGAAACGCGCTGCCAGCCAATGATGATCTTTCCTTCTGAAAATCCTACTGGATGAAGTCATCCTGGTCCTCTGGTTTCAGTACTTTCTGTATCACAGAAACAGAACAAGCATGCAGATGAGGTATTGTGACTTCGAGGGCAGTGGTGCAGAAGATTGTGAAGCTGAAGGATCACCATGGGGCACCATTACTGATCTGCTTCTGGAGACGCCGGTTGCTTGGCTGTCTCTTGGATCAATACCTTTTGAGTCCCGGATGGAAAAAATCTTCAACAGGGACACAGGCAGCAATAAAAGGGTGACGGGGCTCTATCCTTCCTCCCGGACTCACACCTGACATGAAGTAAATATCAACCTAATCACAAAACCTTATACAAACCTTAAGATAAGTCCTGCCATGAAAGTCCGTGTTCAGGCACTTCCTGTTACAGGGTGACAACGCTCTGTCCTTGTCTCCTAATGGCACAGGGGCTTCCGATGGGGAGATTCAGCACACATTACACAGACACGGTCCATCAGGTAACCCACCCGGAGAAATGCCATGCAGTCATCAATGGAGTTCACGTAGACAGAGAGAGGCGGCAAGAGGTCAACAGCACTCAGAGGGAACAAAAAGGTAGAAAGGGGATTCTAATGAAAGAAATCGCGCTTTACCAATATAAATGTCATTCAGTGACAGTTTACACTTAGCATACCGTGATTGCTGGAAATGAAGGCGGCTGATTTGGGTGTCTTGATATCAGAGATAATTGATTTTATCTATAGAGACAGAATTAATTCTATAACATGAGAGATGAGATTGGGTCTCTGTCCCGGTGAATACATTAGGAGTTGGTGTGTGGCCGTGATTCGAGGTGCCGGGGAAAGGCAAATCAGGTTGTTAAACATTAATAAAGCGATCAAACAAACACAAAACAAGCAGCACAGGGACAGGGCGCGGGAACAGGGTGCAGGGATAGGGTGCAGGGCACGGGGACAGGTCGCAGGGACAAGGCGCGGGGACAGGACGCAGGGACAGGACGCAGGGACAGAGTGTGGGGAACGAGTGTAAGGAACATGGATATGCATATGACACATAGTAGGATTTTGGTCACATTCGGCTCCGCATGTTCTGTAATGTTGAGGATGTTTTGTAGCTTCTCCAAGTCACCACATCTGCCCTGTAGAGATGAGCTTCAACCAGGAGCTGACCACAACCCAAGCTGTTCTGACAATTTAACCAGTTTGCCCAGCTGCCAAAACTTCATCTGTGCCCTAGCAACCAATGATGCTGGGCAGAATGCCCAGCATCATTGGTTGCTATGGCACTAGCAGCTGGGGTGCACAGCATCATTGGTTGCTATGAAGCTAGCAGCTGGGAAGCACAGCATCCTTGGTTGCTAGGACACCCCAAAAGATCATTGGCTGTTATGGTGTGCCCACCTGCATCTTAATACACCAAGTGATGCTATGTGGTCAAACTGCTAGAGTCCCAGCTCCCAATGACACTATGCTGGTTGCACAACGCCATTGTTTGATAGGACACAGGCAGCCCCACAGCATCATTGGTTGTTATGGTGTGTCTACTTGTGTCCTAGCAATTAACGATGCGGTGCGCCCCAGCCGCTAGCATCTTAGCAACTGATGAAGTTGTACTGGTCGCACAATGTCTTTGGATACTAGGACACAGGCAACCTCACAGCATCATTGGTTGCTATGGTGCACCTGCCCGTGTCCTAGCAATCACTGATGCTGTGTAACCCAACCGCTAGCATCCTAGCACTAGCATCCTAGCAACCAATGACGCTGGGCAGGTTGCACAATGTCATTGGTAAGACACAGGTGGCTTCACAGGTCACTTGGTTGTTATGGTGCACTTGCCTACGTCCTAGGAACCAATGATCCCGTGTGACCCTGCCTATGGCGTCCGAGTACCGTGCAGGTCACACAATATCATTGGTTGCAAGGACACAGATGGCCCCACAGCGTCATTGGTTGCTGCAGTGCACCTGTTTCCTAGCAAGCAATGACGCTGCGTGGCTCAGCCGCTAGCACCCCAACAACCAATGACGTTACTGTCATTAGTTGCTTGGAAACAGGCAGCCCCTCAGCATCATTGGTTGCAATGGTACGCTTGCCTGTGTCCTAGCAACAGAAGGCGCCTGTGCAGCCCAGCTACTAGCGTCCGAGCAACCATTGACAACGGCTGAAAAGACAAAAAGCAAACAAAGTCTCTCCCAGCCGTGGCCCAGCAGGACGGTAACGTCTGGGGAGACTGGGGTTTGCATTTCGTTTCTTCATCCGTTGCTCCCCTGATGCCTCATTTTGTAACTGTATATTTCCCTGTTACCCTTTTACCCCGAGAGCCATAAAATAGATTGCTTATATAAATGGAATGATACCATGGGCAGACGTGACCGGTCGCTGAAGAATGAGGAATCACTATACGGCTGTATCTAGTGATTGTTCCGTGACCTATAACATTCCCCCCTCTTCCACCATTGCCGCCACCACCACCTTGCTGGAAGAATTGGCCGGGCTCTGCAGTCAGGTTGGTTCACATTCCTGCACCTCTCACTCTCTTCCTGGTTCTTCACTTTGACTGTGTATTAGAGTTCAGGTGATCAGGAAGTGGACTCTGGGAAAAAAAAAGATAATTATACCGACGGGAGTCAGTGCAAGGAGCAGACAGCATGTGGCTCAGTCCTGCGGGATGGTAATTACTAACATCTGGGCTAGTGAGGTTGGCACGGAACCGAAGACCAGATGGAGGGCTTCCTTAGGGAGCAGCTGAGGTGCATGGTGTGCCTTTGGGACAAGATTTGGCCTCCTCCCGAGTCACTCAGGCACCCAACTGTGGCCGTCATTAGCCCAATGCCCACAAGCACCTTGCCCAGGATGGACATAGTGACCACCCTCTTTGACTTTGATGCCAGGACCAGCGATGAGTTGACGGTAAACGCTGGGGAAGAGCTCTGCAAAGTGGGCGACGAAGGGGAATATATTATGGCCAGGAAGCTGACAGGGGTTTTGGAAATGGGACTGGTGCCGGCCAGTTACGTGACGCCGACGGGGTTCTTCAATACAGCCGTCACGCCGGACTCCCCAAAGGTTTCCACTCTACCTAGTCCACCAACCCGGGCTCGATATCAACACTCAATCAGCAGTGAGCCGTAAGTACTAAACCTACAAGCTTTGGGTGATGGGTGATAGATAAAAAATGACGGGACCAGGAAACCGAAAACTAACAAAGAGAAGCTTTTTATTTGATTTTTTTGTTGAAAGACTAATAATTCACAATTATAAGTGTTCCCACACCTGTAGATCAGGGGCGGGCTACTAAATATGGGAATTCAAGAGCCAGCTTATCCAATCCAATCCAATTCAATTCAAGAGCCAGCTTCATTGACAACTTAAGAGATCCTCAAAAGTTAGGAGTTGGTTGTACTTTTTTAAGCTGCCCATACACCTTACGAATATCGTCCGATTTTCGTATGCGAATGCGTTTTCGTCTGATATTGGTAAGGTTGATGGGCAGTGTACAACCGCAAATACTGTACAATCGTACGACTTTTGACTAACCCGCAGGTTAGAAAAAGTCGGTCAATCGTACGATTTTCGCAAGGTTGGTGGCGTTTCCTTACATCAAAATTCGTACGATCTACCCTGCACATGCGCAGACGAAAATACGTGCGGTCGATTACTGCAATTCGCCCAGGTGCTTTCTTCTAATTACCACTGATCCAACCTTGCGATAATCGGGGCAGGATGGGGCCGCCCAACGAAAATCGTACCATGGTTCGATCATCGGATGAAAAATGTGGGCAGCCTAAGAAGCATTGGCGACCGCGCTCCTAGGATTTATCCAATCCTGAGGTGTAGAAAGCATGGACAGGGGAGGTTTCCAAATGTTGGTCCTTTCATTTACTAAAACATCCAAAACATATCATGTCTCAGGGGCCCGCAAGCTCCTCGTAGACAATTGATTCATGGTTAGGTTGACATGAAACACACTCTACAAGCCGGTTTCGTCTAGCTGTGACCATCAGGTTGCCCGAGTCCCAAGCCCTGAAGAAAGGGACAGTTTTCAGACCCCCAAAACGCGTTAAATGTGCTATGAATGTCAATAAAACGACTACAATTTTGAAGCATTTCATCTCCAGACTTATTATATATAACGTGTAGAAGCGAGGTCATACAACTTCCAGCCATGCCCTGTACAGATTGATCACCTTGATAAGTCACAATTGACACCAACGTTGACGTCATGCAGTGTTGCCAAAATGACGACAACAAACACGTAAATCTGTACATGACATTGTCGGCCACATTACGAGGTTGAAGAAAGACGAATGTCCTTCAAGTTCAGCTTATAACAATCACTGACAATTTTTGCTACTGATAAAAGCGCAATAAAAACTCCCCCGGGGCAACTAATAAAATCCACAAATGACATCAAATTCGTTTTGAACAAAAATATGTGTTTTTACCTTTTTTCATCTTTTGTTGTATCTCAGTGCTGCTTATCTCCCGCACTCTCTTTGCAACCACTTCCTGTATACATGCACTCCAGTGAGGGCTGCATGGCATTTGTTAGGATGGTAACAACAGCGGACCGAGCCTGCGTATGTGTGTTGAGCCGGCTCCTTGAAGTCCTTGTGACGGAGTGACAATGTAGGAGCACTAATGACTGAACAAGGACTTCTATGGCGGGATCACCAGGTGTGATGTAATGAAAGCTGCAGATTTGACATATTGGAAATGACAATAACATGCTGAAGGTTATATTACATTTTACCGATTGGGTTTAATGTCATTGCTATCTGAAGTCAGAACTCCAGACTTGTATACCTTGTCCCAGCGCAGTGACTCAGGAAGTATTGAGGACAGGCAACTAGTATTTTCAGAATGTGGCCAACAAGGACGTCTCTATACATCTTCAGTCGCAGGTTTCTGGTCAGTGACCCATTCGGCCCTTCATGAAGTAGATGAAAGCGGGCACATTTTAAATATCATACTATGCACGGTTTTTAAAGGACCTTAGAATGGGCATCAGGTACATTTCAGTCGGAGTTCCCTTCCGGGAGCTGCTAGGGTCTGGTGAGTGAATTTTACAGAGGGAAGGGGGGAATTTAGCTTAGGGGGTAGATGTTTGTAGGGGGCGGGGGTATTGTTGCTTGTGCCCAGTCAGCCAACCAGACCAGAACTCAGCCCAGCCAGTCTACCAGACCAGAACTCAGCCCAGCCAGTCTACCAGACCAGAACTCAGCCCAGCCAGTCTACCAGACCAGCACTCATCCCAGCCAGTCTACCAGACCAGCACTCAGGCCAGCCATCCAAGCAGACCAGAACTCAGGCCAGCCAACCAGACCAGAACTCAGGTGAGCCAGCCAACCAGATCAGAACCCAGGCCAGCCAACCAGACCAGAACTCAGGCCAGCCAACCAACCACACCAGAACTTAGGCCAGCCAGCCAACCAGACCAGAACTCGGGCCAGCCATCCAAGCAGACCAGAACTGAGGCCAGCCATCCAACCAGACCAGAACTCAGGCCAGCCAGCCAACCAGATCAGAGCTAAGCCCAGGCAGCCAACCAGACCAGAACTCAGGCCAGCCAGCCAACCAGACCAGAACTCGGGCCAGCCAGCCAGCCAGCCAACAAGACCAGAACTCAGGCCAGCCAGCCAACCAGACCAGACCAGAACTCAGGCTAGCCAGCCAACCAGACCAGAACTCAGGCCAGCCAACCAGACCAGAACTCAGGCCAGCCAGCCAACCAGACCAGAAAGCAGCCCAGCCACCCAACCAGACCTCAGCTCAGTCCAGCTTAATAGACCAGGACTCAGCCCAGCAAGCCAGCCAAGTCTGGATGCAAGCATGCCCAGGCCTGAAACTAGCCAAGCATGTCAGCTGCAGTTCCAATTGTCCTGCCTTCATGATGTTGGCAAATAAAAAGCAAAGGCCTAGCACTTTCATAGTGAATAGGAACAGAGTTACTTTTCTTTCCTGTTTGTTGTACAAAGCTTCCACCACTTTAGCCAAGAAAGGAAATGTTGGGCTGAGTGTAGTTCTGAACTGCACCCCATACATCAAAGAAAAAGATGGTGCTAGTAGTGATAGCAAATGATAGTGTGATGCATTACCATTATAGGAGAAGAAGAGTCACCAGCACTGGACTAAAGATCAAGCAAAACATTATGTTTTTATCTTTAGAACGTCACATAAGACAAATGTTGCCAACGTTTTGGGGCCTAGCAGAGTCCCTTCCTCAATTGCAGTCACAGTGGTCACATTACCACCTTGAGGAAGAGACCCTGCCTGGCCTTAAAGGAGAACTATGGGGTCAGGGCTTTTCCCCATAGTTCTCCTTAGGGTAACGGGAGGACACAAACTAGCATCCTCCCGTTACGCTAAGCTCAGTATACCGCGAGCTAAAGCTCGCGGTATACTGAGACGCCGCAGCGGATCCCGACATCGATGTCGAGATCCGCCCAGCTGCGTGAGTGACAGCTGGCTCTGCCTATCTAGAGGCAGAGCCAGCTATACCCGCCACTCCCCAGTCCGTTCTGCCATTCAGCGCTGGAGGATCGGTGCGGGGAGGGGGGAATCCCTGCAGGGAGCCATGAGCGACAGTCACAGCTCTCTGCAGGGACAGGATCGAGAAGGGAGCGAGCGCCGGTATGTGTTTGCTCACTTCTCGATCTATTGAGCCGACCTGTGACAGTTTCCTTGTCACAGGTCAGCTAGAACTATGAGGCTGAGTGATTTTTACTCACCTCATAGTTCTCCTTTAATATGAGGTTGACCCCTCTTTGCGGGTATAACAGCTTCCACTCTTCTTGGAAGGCTTTCCACAAGATTCCTGAGTGTTTCTGCGGGAATATGGGACCAAAAGAACATTTGTGAGGTCAGGTACTGATGTTGGATGAGAAGACCCAGCTCCAATTCATACCAAAGGTGGTCAGTAGGGTTGAGGTCAGAGCTCTGTAAGGTTCCTCCACACTAAACTCATCAAGCCATGTCTTTATGGAGTTGGCTTTGTGCATGGGGGGACAGTCATACTGGAACAGAAAAGGACCTTCTCCAAACTCTTACCAAAAAGTTGGAAGTCCACAATTGTCCAAAATGTCTTTGTATGCCGTGGCACCAACAATACCCTACACTGGAAACACCTGCACTCAGTCATTTGGGGTTCCACATACATTTGGCCATATAGTGTATTTGTCATGTTTCCCATAGTCCCCTCTTACTGACAACCAAGTCTGTAGTAATAGGGCCCTTCTACAAGATGAACCATCATGACTTCTGCTCTGCTCTATTCCCCACAATCCCCTGCAGCTATACATCTGGACCTGGTCCTGCTACACTACGGAACATGAAATGTCTCTTTCGCACAGAACCTCTCATAGTTCCAAGGTTCCGCTCATTATCAAACAGTTCCCTCTTACAGCTGCTGATACAATGTGTGGCCTCGGCAAGTATATTAATCATTCCGAGTATTGCTAATTGTTTGTTTTCCTGAACTTCTGCATTTGGGTTTCAGCTGGTACGTGGAAGTGACCAGTCGCCATGCAGCCGAAAGATTATTGCTCTCCCCGCCTAACGGTCATGGCTCGTATCTGGTCCGGCCCAGCGACACCAACCCTGGACAATATTCCCTATCAGGTGAGATGTGGAAACGTCCACCCAAAGCTGTTAGTATTATTTCCTGTTTTTTGGGGAAAGGATAACAAAGTACTTTGCAGGCAACACAAGGCCGGCGGGAAGACAATGACGGATATCACAGCATTTAGGTCAAGAGGCTCCAAACATGACTGTGATAGTCAAATGATCCACAGCCACGTACCCTGAGTGAGGAACTAGGTCTCAAGGGGCAAAGCCGTGATCATGAGCATTGTAGGCCTCTTGCAGCTTGCATCTACTTCGGACCATGTGCTGGAATAACACAGCAAAAAAGGAGGGTGAGGTGTGTTCACCTCCTAGGGGATATCAAGGAGAGGACCTGACTTGGGGAGTCAGCAGGAGAAATAGGGGGGTATGCCTCATGTGTTGACTAAGGACGTAGCAAATGTAATTCTTAAGGTGTCAGTGAGGAGAAGGGGTTAATGTTAGGAGGTAGGTGTCAGTGAGGAGAAGGGGTTAATGCTAGGAGTTAGGTTATATTCTAGGGTGGTGTCAGGGTCAGTCTGAGGGTTATTTAGAGGCTACAGATTGACCCTTTTGTTTGGTTTTGGTGCTGATGGCATTGTGCCCGGAGTCACCTTCTATTCCTCGGCTGGTTTAGAATGCTATACGAGTGAATGTCGGGTATATTGCAGCCTGAGGACATAAAGTTGGGGAACGATTACAATGTTGGGGTTTCAGCACTGAGGTCTCGGAGTCTTCCTGACTGTACAAAGTTTGAGGTTTCAGCTCTCCGAGTTTCGTTTCCTCTTTGTGACATTATTTGCAGAGAGACGACATGACAAAGGTCGCTTCCTTTACCCCAGATAAGGCTGCGAGGTGCTCTCATCAGAGCCGCCCCGTCTCCATCACCATTACTCATTGGAAGATTTTAAGGGCACAAACTCCAAATGTTTTTGGGGCAATTTTATTTAAAATTTGTAATTAAAATGAATAAATAAAATGTAACTTTTTTTTTGAGAGTTGAGCTGCGTAGAGGGAACCCGTCCTTCTGATGCAATACATTCGCCCCTCCCCCAGACATTGCTGGGACACAGGTCCAGCCCTCTACCTTCAATCTGTAATCTGGGAACTCCTTTTGGTTAGCTGCTTATAATGTACTTGCTTGCAGCACTTATTCAGCAATGGTGCTGATTGTGTTGTCAAAGTTCCTAGCAGCCACTAGGGGGAGCACTTACAATCATAATATGGTGCAGAAATCCAGCCACAATTTGAAATATGGTTGGGCTAAATGAATGTCTACTTACCGAGCATGGAAAGTAGGTCACCTCTGCCCGCCGTGCCGCTGTTCTCCGGGTCTCCGTATTTTAGGGATGGCGACTGATGGGGGAAAGCTTTAGCCAGACCAGAAAAGCCCCTGGGAAAAAATAAAGCGACGCAGCTCACATCTATGAATCTTCAACTCATCTCCTTCTCTTCCAGTTTGTAACGACAATAAAGTCACCCACTTCCGCATCTACAAAGACTCCAGGGACGAGTACTACCTACAGCACGGGAGGAGCTTCCCCACCATCCAGGATCTGCTCATCTTCCATAAAACCAACTGGAAGCTACTGAAGTGCCCGCTGCTGCAGCCCTGCGTCACCCAGGTATAGAAGGCTGACAGGTAAGGGGTGTGACCAGCCCACCTGAGACCCTACCATAGAGAGTCTGTAGTGGGCTGTGCAGGGTCGCTCTCAGGTGGGCTGTGTGGGGTCCCAGGTGGCCTCTGCGATGGGGGTAACTAGAAATCACAACATTTTACTATGGGGCCCTGTGACTTCTAGTTACTCCCCTGTGTACAGCAGCTCAGTGAGTACAGGTCACATGACCCCGATGGATCATGTGCACGGCTTCTCTCTGCTGCCGGAATGCTATCAGTGAGTACAGTGACGTCCGGGTTGTGCTTCAGGGTGTGTAACATGCGACGGCTGAATGATCAAAGGTCACTTCTCAAACATTGTGATTAATGTTATAATACTTCAAGGATTTTCCATTTCCTAATAGTGATAAAACAAATCTCTTGTTCACAACATAATCTGACATTCACTGCTATTCAAGAAGAAGGGCCAGACCCCCCATAAATATATACTCAAGATAAAGGTGGAGCATGCCGAGCAGAGTCAACTTCTAACATCTTATGTCTCAGATACTTCACCAGTGAGATCTGCTGACCATGATTCTGTTCCTGTTCACCTGGGAGGGTTCCTGCCCACCGTTGTGTGTCCCAGATCTGCCCATCACATTCCCTATAATATATGTAATGAATACAAATCCAGCAGGGATGGTGGGAGCCCCTCATAATAGGCACAGCGGGTGTACAGACCCAGGAACTCAGCACAGGGATGGTGGGAGCTCCTCATAATGGGCACAGCGGGTGTACAGACCCAGGAACTCAGCACAGGGATGGTGGGAGCTCCTCATAATGGGCACAGCGGGTGTACAGACCCAGGACACAGCAGGTGTACAGACCCGGGAACTCAGCACAGGGATGGTGGGAGCTCCTCATAATGGGCACAGCAGGTGTACAGACCCGGGAACTCAGCACAGGGATGGTGGGAGCCCCTCATAATGGGCACAGCGGGTGTACGGCCTCGTATTAAACATTTGCAGAAAAAGCTATGGCTATGATTCATCAAGCTGCAATCTAGGCATGCTAAAAAGCCATACGATACAATAGGATGCCACTTTATCATGCCTGAAGTACACTCTAGGGGGCCTTAATTGCTTCTGCGGCTTGATGAATCAGGGCTATTATGTTTTTAAAAAACGATTCCACTGAAAAGTGATATTTAAAACTGCAGTAGACAAAATCTGGAGCATCGGTGCATGGCAACCGATCAGCTTCTCTGTTTCATTTTCAAATCTTAGCTGATAAAACTGAAGAGAGAAGCCGATTGGTTGCCATGGGCAGGGCCGGATTTACTCTCTCTGCTGCCCCAAGGCCAGGTTCCTCAATGCGCCCCCCTACCCACCAAACCCCCCCCCCCTCTCCATGGAGAATGGCAGACCTGCAAGCTGCATACAAGTGATCTCTGCGACATTGCCGAGATCACATGTACACAACAAGCAGCGGCTTCCCCACTGTACATTTAGCTCTGCTTGCCTTAATCAGGGCTAAATGTAGAAAACAACTACCCGCCCGACGCCCAGAACTGCATGTCCCGGGCATCGGGAGATAGGAATTCCACACCCCTGCTGCCCCTCTACTCCCTGCTGCCCCAAGGCCGGGTCTTGGTTGGCCTTGTGGGAAATCTGGCCCTGGCCACGGGCAACTGCTCTTGATTCGTTCTGCTCCAGTTTTGATAAACTCCCCCTCTAGAGTTTTTATATTTCCCTGGGGACAACAATGGATAGATATCCCCACGGGGAGCCTAACTCGGAGACTGAAGGGCTGCAGCAGGTGGGCAGAGCTGGATATCCAATTTCTGAGACCTCCCTGCTGGAACCCCCAAAGCTACAGGAAACCAGAAGGTGGTTCAACCCATCAGCATATATGTAAAAGTGAGATACAAGTTTTGAGTGGACTGACCTTTTAAGATCTGCTGTCTTTTAGGTCCTGGCTCCATCTGACACCTGGGAAAGGCCAAGGTCGGAGTTTGCTTTAGTAAGAAAGCTGGGACAGGGGTTCTTTGGAGAGGTCCATGAAGGCCTCTGGACCGGAGAGCAGAGAGTCGCCATCAAGACCTTCAAACAAGGTTTGTGTCACCAGACTTTGGCATTTCCTCTGGAAAAAAAGTGAAGGTGGATTCATCTAAATGTGGTGTATTGGCTCTTGCAGAGGACCTGAACAGAGATGACTTGGAGAAAGAGATGAACGCACTGAAGACACTGTGCCATCGGAACCTCATCCGTCTCCTGGCTGTGTGTTCCATTGGAGAGCCGGTCTACCTTGTCACCGAACTCATGACCAAGGGAAACCTCCAAGATTACTTAAAAGGTCAGCCCAAAGTCTACCTATGATATCTTTGATATGGGAACCTGCAGTGGGAGGGGATACAGAGGCAAGGAGACTTATGAGATGAAATGTAATTGCCTATGAAAGTGGACCTGTTAGCTACTATGAACATTTAAAGCTACATAGCCCCCCTAGTCCAGATAAAGCTTTCAGTGCCCCATCAGAAAATATCAGATTGCTAGTGAGGTCTTGACTTTAGACCTAAGCCCCAAGTCCGGCTCATCTACTTGCCCCCCAGTGGCAGTGTCCAGATTGGCCAGCAAGTTCCTTCATTGGACAAGGGGCCATTGGTCATGTGGACATGAAAGAGAAGTCAAGAAAGTCAAAACCCAACCAGCCAACTGAAAGCAGTCTATGACAGGGCAATGGAGAGGGTTGTCTGCACCAAGGAGCCAATAGCAGGCATCTTACTAATTCTGGTTACAATGTGAAACTCCATCCAAGCACATTGGTCATAATATTCTCAATGGATGTCATCATTGAGTCTGACCGTTGTCACATATCTCCGCAGGCACGGAAGGAAAGCGCCTGAAATATCCAGAATTTATTTACATAATCTGCCAGGTTGCAGATGGTATGGAGTACCTGGAGAAGAAACACGTGGTCCACCGGGACCTGGCCACTCGAAACGTTCTGGTTGGGGATAACCTCATTTGTAAGATAGCCGACTTTGGACTGGCTCGCTTGTTGAAGGTAAGATATAACCTGGTGTCAAGTGAACATCACAAAAGTGTCAGAGCTGCGTATTTTTATATTTATTCTTGGTTAATGCTTCAGACAGCATTGAAGCGGCAGCCTAAGCGATGGCATAGCAGCCAGGGAACTAGGATTCTCAAAAGAAGAGGTCATCAATGGCAGCTTCCATTTTCCTCTCATGACAAAGTATTTTATTCTATAGGGTCTTGGCATTCAGAAAATATATAATGTTGGGGGGTTTTACGTCATTTTCAGGCCTAAAATGTGGAATATAACATGGGTGCAAAAAATGAAAAAAGGGCCTCAGTCATGAAGGGGTTAAGGAGAGGTCACTTGTGTAGTAACCTGAGTGTAAACTCCTGATTCTAATAGTGCAAACCTACCTATAAAGGTTTGCAGTTGACCCTTAATTCAGCATTAATGACATTGCCCGTGTCTGACCCTTCTGCTTGAAAGTCAGACAGTGGTTGCCCTGCCAGCTACCTGGCCCTGCTCACTGCCTCCCAACTGGTGAGAGTGCACATGGTATTAGGTAACAGTTCCCCCTTTTGGAAGGTCTATTATTGGATACAGTTATGCAGATTCTGAAGCTGGGAGAGCATATGTAGAGTCAGGCAGAGTAAAGAGCAACAGCTGTCCGAGTGCAGGGGACCTGTAGGACACTGCACAAACCACCAAACAAGAGAAACGTGGGACGGTTTCATGCTTCTTGAAATATAATGAGTCTTAGGACTCTCTTCAGCATCCCCTGCGCTTCCTTTCTCATAAAGTTTACTTTAAATGTAATTACAACATTTCCAGAGAATACCAGGAATAACATGAGATAAAAGGTATAACTAACTGTAGGTCTTGGCGCTGCTACCCTAGAGACCAGTCCACAGGTGCCATTATGATAAATACAACCCAGGGTAGGATATCTGAGCTGTGTTAGGACCCTAGTAATGTCCCTGACATTCTTATTTTATTTCCAGGATGATCTGTACTCTCCAGAAAGCAACCGATGCATCCCAATAAAATGGACAGCGCCGGAGGCTCTTAGTTTCTGTAAATATTCTACCAAGTCCGATGTGTGGTCCTTTGGGGTCTTGATGTATGAAGTGTACACGTTTGGAGAAACGCCATACAAAGGTAAGTGGCTTTGGGAAACAAAGAATGGGTAAAAACATATTTTACTTACCCTGAAGGAGGGGGATGTCTTCCTCCCCAGATCTCTTTTAGCTGGGGAGCCAAAAGTAGCCAGTCATTGGACAAGAAGTGGCACCATGATCCACGGAAGGTCAGGCAGTGCTGGAGATCCCCATCGTGGGAGTATAGCCAGAGAGGTCTCACCACTGGAATCCTGAAAAGAGGAAATAGACACAGGCTGATATATAACACCTTGGTGTCTACCTAAAATTCAGATATGTGTATTGACTGCTCCAACTTGTTATATCAGGGCCTAAGCACTCTCAGGCACCCCCTTCGAACTCCTTGGCTACCAGCCCATCATATACCCCTGAGGAGCCAATAAAATGGGCATGCGAGGAGCCTATACCGGGGGGCCAGGGTCGAATAAAAATCTTTTTCTGATACAAATACATGATACAATCAATCAATGATTGCCCTTCCCATAATAGGAGCCAATATTTAGTCCAACATCTGACACCCCCAAAAATGATTGCTCACCGTCCACATTACTGACTGATGCAGAGTTGATGAAGAACAGCTCCTATTGAATCATGGTATCTCAACATGTATTACTGGTTCAGACGTTACAGAGTACAGGAGGACCCACTAGGGTGCCCCTAGAAGGCAATGGAGCATGCAGATACTCCAACCATCCTTGAGCACCCGTGGACACATAAACACATCTTCACACCAGCGTTCATGTAAATGCCTACAGAACCAGAGGCGGAATGCTATTTGTTGTGTTTTTTTTGGGGGGAAAGAATAGCAAATGGGCAAAGTTTTCTGACAGGTCCAATCCCGCTGTACTCCAAGTAGAGTCAGCTAGCAATCTCTGTGGGTACTCCTAAGACTGTTCAGATCAGCCTACAACATATCCATGTCTATAAATACCATTATAGAGTATAGGAACCCCACATCAAGGGGTTGAGGGTTTACTAAACTGTTAAAGTATATCTAAAGACCACAAGGTATTAAAATATATCCAAGCTAAACCATGTTTCAGGTTTGGATAGAGTAAGGAGTGTTTAAAACCCCTGTCAGGATTTTTATGCCACCTGAGTTCCACTGGGGAGGTTTCCTCTGCTTCCTGTCCTTTAGGCACACCAAGAGATGAGGGGACATATCTCCAAAGTGATATCTCCACCTCTTTAGACAATGGTCGCCATAATAATAATTTGCACTTTCCCATCACTTTCTATCCTGGTCACGATGGATATCAGGACACATAAAGATAGTGAACCTACCCTATCAGGGCACAAACTTGCCAGGGGTTCACACAAAGGTTGAACTTGATGGACCTGTGTCTTTATTCAACCTCAAATACTACGTATGTAACCCCTTCCCTATGCTACCAAAATCTAACAAAAAAGGTCAAGAAGAGTCACCTGGCAGTCTCTGTGGGTACTCCTATAACTGTTGTCCAAATCTAAAACAGCCTCATGTCTATAAATACCATTAGGAGCATAGGAACCCCACCAAGATGACCAGGGGGTTGCGGGTTTACCAAAACGTGGACATTTTGGTTCAGTTTTGGATAGAGTAAGGAATGGTTAAAATGCCTGTCTGGGTTTGTGGGACATCTGAGTTCCATTGGGGAGATTCCCTTTGCTTCCTGTCCTGTAGACACAACATGAGATGAGCGGAAATCTCTCTAAAATGGGTGGAATCCCATTTGAGACAATGGTCACCATAACAAGTATCCCAATTGGAATTTTCACTCTCTTCCTGTTGTGGTGACAACTCAACATTTTGGACACACATCTGCCAGGGGTTTGAACCTTTCCATCCTCTATCCAAATCTATCAAAAAAAAGTTTGGGCTATCAAAATACTTGTCATGTGGTCTTTGTGGACACAGAAAGTTCCTCTTGAAGTCTTTTATCAGACACAGAGCAGGCTGACTTGTCCCTCTCTCTCCTCACCAGGGTGGAATAACCGGGATGTCTTCACAAAAGTCTCCCGAGGCTACCGACTTCCTCAGCCGGCCTACTGCAGGTTGGAAATGTACAATTTGATGCTGCTTTGCTGGGAGGACAAGCCCGAGGAAAGGCCCAGCTTCCAAGAGCTGGTGGAAAAACTAACGGATATCGAGAGGACTATTCGATGATGTACTAGACTAAAAAAGACATAAAAAGATGGACGCTCCTTGTTGACTTTCTGACAGAACAACAAAATGAGCCGACTACTGGTCTCAAGAAGTTCACTTACTGACCACTAACAAGGCAACTTTTTGGCAAGACAATGGATTATCTTTCTGGCTAGACGATGGATTGTTCTTTTGGCCACTTTCTGGCCAGACAACGGATTGTCCTTTTGGCCACTTTTTGGCAAGACAATGGATTGTCCTTTGGCCACTTTTCGGCAAGATGATGGATTGTCCACCAAACAAACTTGCAACTGACTAGATGTTACTTCCCGATTGTCTCTTATTCTGGGAGGACCTTGAACATTTCTGAACCTGCGGGAGGGCGGAGCTTATCGTATCTCTCTATCTTGGTACAAATATGGGCATGAAGTTGTCTTATTTCAGGTTTATCATAATGAGACAAAAGTCAGATTGGTTTTATTGCTGAATTGGTCATTCCAACTGTGATTTTAGATGTTTTTGCAGCACTTTTGGAAGAATGATCGCATCTGCACTGTCAGTTGTCACCACACCCACCCGCAAGATAATATTCTATGGCAGATTTACTATGAGTTTCATAAATTGGAAGAAACATTGTGTCATTTCACACAGCACTTATAAAAATAGCACCTTAAAAACACATTCAAATAAAAATATGGTCTATAGTAATAGCTGGCACATTGCTGGTGTTGACAGGCACTTCCTGAGGATTTGTGGATGGATGTTGGCAAGTTGAAGGACCTCTGACTTCTCCTCTATCTCTCAGACTATGGAGGTAACATCACGGTGCTAATCTCAGCACTGACCCACTGTGGTCAGATCTCTGGTTCCCTTCTGAATTTATTGACTTTATCATTTAGAAATTGCAGCTGCAGGAATGACACTCCACGGGGAGGGTAGAGCTGGGAATTGTCAAACAGATATTCCAACTCGAGACTTGAAGGGCAAGACAGGTCAGGGCGTGACGCAACTTGTCGGCATCTGCTGCAAGCCGAATGGTCTGATTTAGGCAGGGAATGCTCATTACTATTGCAGCAAACATCTAGGTGCAAACATAATGTGCATCTGTGTGCGTTCCTAGTTCCCAGACCCCGCTGTCAGACTGGCAAACTAGCCATAGAGTTTTAGGCAAGTTAACTGACCTGTCCCGATGCTACGTGGTATGGGCATGTGGGCTTTTGGACCTCTGGTCACAAAACGGTGATCATGGACTTTCTGCTTAGACTCCGACTCACAGCAATGGCGTACAGCAACCCAAAGCTTAGCAGTTCGGCGCCATCAGACCACACAGCTTACAATCAGTTTATTATAATTGTTTCGTGTGTGGGGCATGTGGGGTACTGGGGTGAGGGTCAGACAATCAGATCTGATTGGAACTTAGTGACCTGATTGAACAGAATACCCGCTGAGCCACACACGTCACAATGCAACTGGACAAATCATAGAATTTCTGATGCTTGAACGAAGCTAAACCGAGTCATGAAGAAGTCAAACACCTGGGTGATAAGGCTCCGATGCAAGCACAGTACACATTAGTACTAAAGCCTGCACACATGCGTTAAGCCTCGTGAAAGATTTAAAGGGCCAGCACCGATTAGCATAGTTGAATCTGGGTGCGTCTACCTTTGCCTGGGGTGACATGAGGGGCCTATTTATAAAGAGTCAAGCCTCATTGCTGCTCGCTGCCGGTTCTCGGACCAACCATTTCCATACGGCTCTACACTGTGACTTGTAGATCGTTATCTGAATCCTAATAAATCTGATACGTATGTGCCGGACATAAATGTATATAAATGTTCATTTTAAAATACCGTTTGGTTGTATTTTTTTTCTTTCCCTCGCTTTATGGCAACTTACTAACGCTGTGCAGGAACATAATGGAGGCCGTAGGGTTCGCCTTACCTTACCCCCCAGGGCTTCCACCTGTGGGACCAAGGTAAGGGTGACATCACCATCCTTCCCATCAGATCCCGGGGAAGGCTGAGAGTCTCCTGACTCTTTGGTGGTACCCATAGGCTAAGAGGTTGAATGGTCGGATCCAGCGTCAATCAGCGGGCTCTCCACATGCACGTCCACCAATCAGCAGCGAGTCACACGAGGTCTCCAGGACCCCACAGAAACGTTCTGCTTCCCAAAAAGAAGTGAAAGGCCATCTCCAGTCAAAACCTTTCATTTTGGATAGATTGAGGAAGACTTAGAGTTTTATTGGCATCTGTGTCCCCATTGGAGGGATCTTCCCCTCACTTCCTGTCCTCTAGGCACAACAAAAAGTGAAAAGAGACCTCTCTTCAAAGTGAGAAAACAACCTTATAGTTGTCACCGGCACAAGTGTCCCCATTGGAAGATTTCTCCCCTATTCCTGTTCATGAGTCATCTTGAAATGTTGGATTTCCTATCCCTTTCAGTCCCGGCGGTAATGGTGACCACTGTAACAACAGGGACACAGACGAGTCTCCAGGAGTTAGGCTTTACACCCTCCATATACTTGTTCCATTCACTAATATATTCCTTCACAAGTCATTAAATCATTTTTTGATCCATCTTCATTGTCTGAAATTGTTTTTTATATCCGGACGCTCACCAGCCGAAAGCTGCAGTTGGGCTTTCAGTGGGAGTGTCTACTTGCTAATGAGGGAGGTACTTGAGTGGGCATCACCACTTTCACAATGAAGTTGACACCCATCTGAGTACTTCCTCCCCCCTTCTAGATCAGAGGTGGGCAACTTTGGCCCTCTACAAATCCCAGCATGCCTATGCCTCTGGGAGCCATGCCTGCGGCTATCAATGACTTGCAATGCCTGGTGGGACGTGTAGTTCGGCAACAGCTGAAGTTGCCCACCCCCGCTTTAGGCCGTCGGTAGACAGTAGGCGGGGCAGTGTCACGGAATCTGCAAAACTGCAGGAATAGTGTTGTCACCGGCCTTATGGCATGCAGCATGGGGTGGGGATCACATGGCTATGGGTATTATTTTACAAATCTCTCCCTCAGGTCCTCTCTGTATTTTTTTTTATCCATTAAACCCTGTCAGGGAACTACAGGGGGGGGGTAATCTATGTCTACCCCGGGATCTGCCGAACACACTGGAAAGGCCAATTCATCCGGCAAAACTTGGAAAATGGAGCAATCATGTCCCCGCTTTAACTCTTCTTGCTTGAAGTGGCAGCTGCATTCACAGGAGTCGCTCTCAATTCATGGGGAAGCCAGAGCATGCTGCTCTACAGTGAGACACTGTGTGATGGCAGCCATGCAAGTAAGAACTATCGTTTTTGGGGTGGATCCATTTACCTGCCAGATAGGGATATGGATTTTGTGGTCAGAGCCGGACTGGCTAGGATTCACAGTTATGTTACTGGTGTGGACAAGTAACCAGGCTCCGGGCTGAACTTTCAGGTTTTCGGACTTGGAAATACCTCTCTGTCGCCACACTCGGAATGACAAGATACAGGTTTGGGCCCCGGCGGGGTGTTTGTATATCACGAGATGCCGCGCTTTCGGGAAGGAAGCCGTGAAAACATTCCGCCTTCTAAAAATACCTTCTTCTGAAACTGGTGAATGATTCACATTCTTTTTTTTACCCCTCGCGGTACTCTGTGGAAGGTCTTCACAGAAATTTCTCACCCCCCCCCCCCCCCCCCCCAC